TGTATCCAACATATTTAGCATATTTTAAGAGAGGGATAAAGTTGGTCAGCCCATGGATGGCAAGCATGTTGTGCTTTCTAAATAAAACCATTGAGAAGGAAATGATATTATACTTCAGTTCAGTTCAGTCGCTCAGTCATGTCTGACTCTTTGTGACCCCATGAATTGCAGCACACCAGGCCTCCCTGTCCATCACAAACTCCCGGAGTTTACTCAAACTCATGTCCATCGAGTCTGTGATGCCATCCAGCCATCTCATCCTCTGCCGTCCCCTTCTCCTCCTGCCCCCAATCCCTCCCAGCATCAGGGTCTTTTCCAATGAGTCAACTCTTCGCATGAGGTGGCCAAAGTATTGGAGTTTCAGCTTCAGCATCAGTCCTTCCAATGAACAGCCAGGACTGATCTCCTTTAAGATGAACTGGTTGGATCTCCTTGCAGTCCCAGGGACTCTCAAGAGTCTTCTCCAACATCACAGTTCAAAAGCATCAATTTTTCAGCACTCAGTTTTCTTCACTGTCCAACTCTCACATCCATACATAACCACTGGAAAAACCATAGCCTTGACTAGACGGACCTTTGTTGACAAAGTAATGTCTCTTTATACTTACACAAACACAATTCAGCACTATCTAGAAAAAGAGATATAGAGATTGGAGGACACAAACACCCACAATGGTAAATTACTATTACAAAAAACTGGTTGCAGTAACGACTCTTGAAAGGTAAAACATTCAGAAAATGGCAGCCGAAGGCTGGGCATGAAGAAATATAGCACAACTCAGCCTTTATGGTTTCACATGGTAGTAATCTGGTAAAGAACTCTCATGTCAATGCAGGAGATTTAAGAGACACAGGTTTGATCCCTGGGTCAGGAAGATCCCCTGGAGGAGGGCATGGCAATCCATGCCAGTATTCTTGCCTGGAAAATCCCACGGTCAGAGGAATCTGGCAGGCTATAGTTCACAGGGTTGAGAAGAGGTCATGTACGGATGTGAGAGTTGGACTATAAAGAAAGCTGAGCACTGAACAATTGATGTTTTTGAACTGTGGTGTTGGAGAAGATTCTTGAGAGTCCCTTGGACAGCAAGGAGATCCAACCAGTCCATCCTAAAGGACATCAGTCCTGGGTGTTCATTGGTAGGACTGATTTTGAAGCTGTAAGTCCAATACTTTGACCACCTCATGTGAAGAGCTGACTCATTGGAAAAGACCCTGATGCTGGGAGGGATTGGGGGCAGGAGGAGAAGGGGACGACAGAGGATGAGATGGTTGGATGGCATCACCAACTCAGTGGACATGCGTTTGGGTGGACTCCGGGAGTTTGTGATGGACAGGGAGGCCTGGCGTGCTGCAGTTCATGGGGTCGCAAAGAATCGGACACAACTGAGAAAGCTGAACTGAACTGACCTGAAGCAACTTAGCATGCACACAAACATGGAAGTTATCAGAGGCTATAGGATTATTGTAGGGATAGAGTTTTTGTTATTTTTAGTGCTCTAATTACAGGGCCACCTCTTTAGCTCACAATCAGAAGCCTCTCTGTGTCCCTGTCTAGAATTCTGTCACTGTTGGTGGCTAGGGTGCTAGTGGTTCCATGATTTAATTGATCCTTGGCTGGTTCAAATGAAGGAAGGGAACATGGCCAACAAGGTTATATCTCGGTATTTAGAGATCGATGGTGGATAGTTGTGTTTGGACTCAGAGATGATAAGAATTAGGAGAGTCTTCACAGAATGCCCAGTCTAAATCCTTCATCCCTAATTGTTAGATAGAGGCATTAAAGTTCAGAAAGCCCAAAGTCAAAGCAGGTGAAGGAGGAAGCTGGTAGCCGCTCACTGAGTAAGGCTGACCTCACGTCTGATGTGAGCGGAAGGGACCACAGCTATTTTCCCAAAGACGGATACATAGGAGTTCTAACAGCACGGTTATTCCGTCAAGTGCTCACTCAATAGCTCCACTGAAAATTACTAATAATACCATTAAAAATAAGTAGTTCAAAAATAAAATGGGTAGAAAATCAAAATCCTTATCACTGGTTCTTTTCTTCATAGAAATTTTTGTACATCACATGGGCAATTTCCTCAAATTTTAACTTTCTAACTCAGTATTATATATTTTATGGAATTCTTGGTTTGAAGTGATAAGGTTGTCTCACTTTTTTCCTTTTATTTTTAAAAAATTTTTAGACATTTATTCCTATACTTCCTGCTTAACATGGTGTGCATATTAAAAATAAATTAGCTTCCCTGTCCAAATGAATCATCTAAAACAAATCACTTCATGTTCTTTAAACCCATTTGAAGAGTACAATATCAATTTGGCCATAAATGTCTGGCAATTTTATTTACTCCCTCAGTAATTTTGCATTTTTCCTAAATTCAATTCCTATCAGTATTGCCTACCTACATATCTAGCTATTTTACCAAATTTTTAAGTCCACATTTTTTAATGCTTTAGAAATTCTGTGAAACTCCTCTGCAACATTGTATTGTAATCATTAACAGGGGGCACAATAATAAAGAATCTGCCTGCCCATGCCGAAGACACAGGCTTGACTCCTAGTCGGAAAGATCCCCTGGAGAAGGAAATGGCAACCCACTCCAGTATTCTTGCCTGGAGAATCCCATGGACAGAGGAGCCTAGCGGGCCATAGTCCATGAGGTTGCAGAAGAGTCAGAGGTGACTTAGCAACTAAACAAAAAAATGAAATAAATGTTTTTTTTAAACTTGAGGCTATGGGGAAAGCCATGAAAAACCTCAGTGAAGATTTAGGGACAATCTATGCCCAAGCTTTCAGATTTTTGTCATTAAGGCACAAACAAATGAAGAAAAATGAGAGTGACAGGCAAGGGGTCCCTTGACAGAAGGGCAGGCCAACAACTGGGTTCGCTAGAGATGGCATTGCTGCCAGCCTGGGCACAGAAACCTACACCTGACATTTGTGAAAGAGTCAGGAGTTGAAATTGAGTATAAATCCTGATCTATATAAATCCCGAGATGGCAGAGGTAAATTCTACATATTATATGTTTAATGTGATTTTAAAAGTAAGTGTTCTTATAAACACAGAGATGTTTATAGCAGCTTTATTTGTGATTGCCTAAACTTGGAAGAAACCAAGATGCCCTTTGGTAAGTGAACGGATAAATAAACTGTGGCAAATCAGACAGTGGAATATTATTTAGCAGTAAAAAAAAAATGAGCTGTTAAGTCATGAAAAGACATGGAGGAAACTTAAATGCATTTACTAAATGTAAAAAGCCAATATGAAAAGGCTATACACTGTCTGATTCTAACTATAGGACATTCTGGAAAAGGCAAAAAACATGGATACAGAAAAGTGTCGACAATTGCTAGGGAAATGAGGGGTGAGTATGTTGAGCACAGAGGATTTTAGGACAGTGCAGCTACTCTGTATAACATGATAAGAGTAGACGGCTGTCATAACACACTTGTCCAAATCCATGCACAGTGCCACGAGTGAACCCTGGGCTTCCCTGGTGACTCAGTGGTAAAGAATCTGCCTGCCAATGCAGGAGACATGAGTTCAATCCCTGATCCAGGAAGATCTCACATGCTGCAGAGCAACTAAGCCCATAAACCACAACTACTGAGCCTGTGCTCTGAGTCTTCGAGCTATAACCTCCGAGCCCACATGCTGCAACTGCTGAAGCCTGCACACGCTAGTGCCCACGCTTCTCAACAAGAGAAGCCCCCACTACAAGAACCCCAAGCACCGCAATAAAAAGTAGCCCCTGCTCATCACAATTAGAGAAAGCCCACACAGCAATGAAGACCCAGGACAGCTATAAATAAACAAAATTATTTTAAGATAAAGAGTGAACCCTAAGATAAAACACAGACTTTGGGTGACAATGAGGTGTCAGTGCAGGTTCATCAATTCTAATGAAAGCCCCATCGTGGTGTGGGACACTGATGATGGAGGAGGCTGTGCGTGGGTGGAGTCAAGGTTATTTGGGAACTCTCTGTACCTCCTCCTCAATTTGTCTGTGATCTTAAAACTTCTCTTGGAAAAAACAAAACCTAGTTTTTAACAAAAAAAACTTGAAAATCTTTACTAATAATAATAATAACAGCTACCACTGAGTGTTTAATCAGTACCAGACATTACTATAAGTCCTTTATATGTGTCAATGCCCTTATTAATCCTCAAAACAGCCCTATGAGGTTGTCATTAGTATGATGTGCACTTGACCGATAAAGCGGGGAGATGCAGAACAGCCCATTGGCTGGCAAAGAGCAGCAGGGCTGGAGTTTTCACAAGAAGGCGGTCAGGTTCCAGACTTCAGTTTCTTCCATTGTCTCTAAGGCTCTCTGCTTTAACCCTCACATCTGAACAGCAGTTGTGATCTGAAAGGGAAGGAGGGAATCACTCAAAGTCTGGACTTGAAGAGTGTTTCCTGAGCAACAACAAGGACACCTCCCAGCCGTAGCTGCACTTTGACCTTTGCTGGGGGTCAGAGTCCCAGCCATGCCAGGTTCACTGCCAGTGCGCTGCTCCAGGGACTCCGCACTGATGCCTGGGGAGCTCCTGGGACGTGTGTGCGGGTCCTCACCCCGGCAGGAGGATCTGATTGAAGCCGTGCTGTGCACCAGGAGCTCACAGGGATTTCAAGGTCACCTCTTCCGACGTGGGCAAAGGGCAGCATTGTTTGTTTTCATGAGAACCGAGCTGGAGAAGCAGGAGGTGTTTCCAATGAAGGCCCACCTGTATCATGTTAAGGACACAGAGGAACCATGGCTTTGAACTTCAGCACTGATGATTGTCTTTCATTCAATAATGGAAAAGCAGTCTGTGAGTGTCTTATATAGGGTTCATAGCAGTCTGGGGATCACTGGCCCACCCCCCTCAACACAGCAGACATACCTACCATGCTGGCTATGGACTGAGTTTGCTGTGCCAAGGGTCCATCACTTCTGCACAGGGGGCTGCTCTGTTTCCAAAACCAAGAGCCCCATGACTGCTTCTCCCCGAGTGACCATGCACCCTGCAGCCCAGCTTGCTCCTCTGCAGAACATGCCCAGGCTGGATGCCCTCTTCTGCCTGCCTGACACCACCCTCCCCCTGCCCCGGAGGGTTAACAGGAAGGAAGCCCTCATCCTGCCTTGCTTCCTCCCAGGGCAGCCTCAGAAATGTGAAGGTGACATCTAAGAGCTTCTCTGACGAACAGCTGTCCAGGGCCAGATGGAAGGAACACAAGGGTCTAGACGCAGAAGCTCCTCTGTGTCCTACCCAGGACCTCCTCCCCTCCCTGCACCACGTGGTCCATGCGTCTGCTCTCCTGAATCACACAGTAGGCTCCAAAGTCTTCCTAACAAAAGCAAGCAAGCTAAACACATTAACATCACCTTAGGGTTGAGTCCTTTCCCAAGGAATTGACAAGCCCGATGACACATCAATGATATGAAATGATGGCTTCAACTTCATGTCTTTCTCTCCTATAGGCAGCTCTGGTATAAACAGACAACTGAGGCCAGCAAGGTTTAACCCAACCAAGGGCTTTGCTAATGGTGGGATTTCTAGCACCGTGACCCTAGGCTGCTGTTTGGTGTCATGTCTGTCTGTGCCATCCAGTCCCCTGGAAGGCCAGCTCCCCTGAGATCATGGACTGAGTCCTACAAGTTTAAAGGGCCCTGTACCACGTCTGGGCTATGAGAGCTGCCTCATTCTCTGGGTCACCTCTATGTAAGTTAGCAAGTCACAGTGGCTGGAACAAGTTTGAGTCCTCAGTCCTTACAGTGACAGCTTTGCTGTCTATTCTTGCCTGGAGAAGCCCATGGACAGGGGAGTCTTGTGGGCTACAGTCCATGGGGTCACAAAGAGTCAGACACAACTGAAACGACTTAGCATGCGCTCATGCATGCTAAGTGGAATGCAGAACATATTCTTCCAAAGACACAGGAGTGCAGTGGTCTTCAGAGCAGCTCTAGACACCCCTGTCGGTTCTCCTCTCATAGCACTAACTCTCTGAGGTCAGGTCTGTATCCAGTCCATGTTTGTATCTGCGATGCCTAGCACAGGACCTGGCACAGCGTTACCAACAGGGAGAAAAAAGGAAAAAACATAACAAAAAAACAAGTGACTGTGGGAAAACAAGTGAAGAAATAAGCCATATCATGGGCTTCATGTGTTTGAGGAGGCTAGCCTGGAAACTACTGTTAAACCAGAGCAGAAAGAAAGGAAGATTAAAAATGACACAAAAAAGTGAAAATATGTTTGTACATAAATACACAAGTATGCAGGAAAATAGGAAAGAAAACATACTAGGTTAAGAAGGTAGATTGCTGGGGGGCAAAGGGTGAGGGGCAGAGAGAAAAAAGAGCCAAAGACAAAAAAGAATTATAAGAAAAGCTCTAGCATTTATAACAGAACCACATATATGTATCTAAGTAAAACTAGAAGAGGGGAATGGCTATTCTCTGAAACAATCCAAATAAGGAATCAGGTTTAGTCCAAGTGAGGAGATGAGCTGAATGTTCTCAAACACACAGGCAAAGAAATGAGACCTGAGGCCAGGAACCCCAAGGGCACCTTCATGGCCACATCCAGGCCTGGGGGCTCCCTACATGAGCTGGGGCTCCCAAACTGTAGGTTCTCCAGACTCCAGGCTCCCCACCAGCATGTCCAACTCCAGCCAAGGACGGGTCCAAATAAAATGGTTCACACAGCTATGCCTGCATCATGTGAGCTGAACTAATATCAACAATTACATCAGGAAAAATGTGTTTACCTTGGTTTCCCGCCACATAAAATGGGTCCAAAATGATGTTGAACATACGCCTTTCATTCCTGCTTCTCTCAGAAGGACAAATAATTTAACAGGTGGAACTCAGAATTCCACAGTTCTTTTTTTTTTTTTTTTCTTCCTTTTTAAAATTTTACTGTGGAGTATTAAACATTCCACTTTTGGTCAACATAATCTGGAACCCTTCTCAGCAGACCTCAGCGAGCTCTATTTATTTTGCAAGAGCCCTCCTAATGCTCACACGAGCAGCGAGTTGGAAAGGCCTGGCGAGTCCAATCAGACTCTGCTCTCGCCTGTTATCAGTACAATATGTTACTTCAACCGAGAGACCAAATTCTCTGACTAACTCCTCCAAGAATTGATCCAGACAGCGCAAAGAGAGGAAATCCATTTGACTTTAACAAGGCAATTGGTCCAGACTTCATACAATATCATTTCAGTCTAGAATTTTCAACATCACTGCCAAAAACATCAAACAGAAACACTACAGGGCTTTCACTCAGTTTTCGCTCTCCAAAGAACGGCCATCTTGTTCCAGCCCTGGGCAGCAAGAAAGAACTTACAGGGAGATTGTCACATGGAGCATTTAACTGTTTCTCTTAGCTGCATTTCTAAGCTTCATGACAATTATTTATTAAAAGTTACTGACCTTTCTTTTAAATGCACCATATGTTTTATTTTATTGACAATTTATAAACTTTTTATTTTGTTTTGGGGTATAGCCGATTAACAATGTTGTGATAGTTTCAGATTCAGTCATATATATACATGTATCCATTCTCCCCCAAACTCCCCTCCCAGCGAGGCTGCCATACAACATGGAGCAGAGTTCCCTGTGTCCTTGTTGGTTATCCATGTTTTTTTTTTAATCTTTAATTGGAGGATAATTGCTTTACAATATTGTGTTGTTTTCTGCCATACATCAACATGAATCAGTCATAGGTGTACATATGTCCTCTCCCTCTTAAACCTCCCTCCCACCTCCCACCCTGTCTCACCCCTCTAGGTTGTCACAGAGCCCCTGATTTAAGCTCCCTGCATCATGCAGCAAATTTCCACTGGCTATCTATCTAATTTTACACATGGTAATGTATATGTTTCAATATTACTCTCTCAATTTGTCCCACTCTCTCCATCCTCCCCTTCCCGGGTCCACACGTCTGTTCTCTATATCTGTGTCTCCATTGCTGCCCTGCAAATAGGTTCATCAGCACCACCTCGAAATTAAGGACAATCAGAAGTTTTCCCACATATCAAATGATCCACCATGGAAAAACTCTCCAACCATACACATCAGGTTATGACATCACCTTTTCCCTGTTACTTATCTACCCTATTGCGCTTCCCAGATAGCTCAGTTGGTAAAGAATCTGCCTGCAATTTAGGAGACTCCGATTCAAATCCTGGGTCAGGAAGATCTGCTGGAGAAAGGATAGACTACCCACTCCAGTATTCCTGGGCTTCCCTGTGGCTCAGCTGGTAAAGAATCTGCCTGTAATGCAGGAGACCTGGGTTCGATCCCTGGGTTCGGAAGATCCCCTGGAGAAGGGAAAGGCTACCCACTCCAGTATTCTGGCCTGGAGAATTTCTGGAGTCACAAAGAGTCAGACACGACTGAGCAACTTTCACTTTAACTATCCTATGTCATCATTTAGTAGATTGCCAGGGAAATGTAATGCATATTCTAAGTATTGATTGAAAAGGATCTCAATGATGTATGTGAATTAGAGTGCATTAGTACAGGTAATTCTAACTATTACTATGAACAAGCCGCCAAACATACAATGTATCAAATACAATAAATAAACACCTTGCTCATAAAATGTCCAAAACAGGTGGTACCTATTGTTGGCAAACATTCCACATGAGATTCTGGGACCCACAATCTTTCTGTCATACACTCAAATCTCTTCTAGGACCATGTGTTCAGAATAGCAGACAGGGAATTAAGACTATGGAAGATAGTTGTAATAGCTAGATTCCCTTCTTAAAAACCTCAACCCAGAATGACACAGGTGATTCCCACTCAGAATACACTAATAACCCAACTGCAAAGAAAGCAATCAGAATATTGTCTAGATGTGTCTTCAGAACAGGAAACATTTCTAATAAAAAGCTAGATAGCCAACTGGAACAATTCATACTGTAATAATTCTTATTTCATTATATTGCATTTGTATTATACATATATTGTATTATAATTACCATGTAATTTGGGAATTATATTTTGGCTCAGAGTGTGTGTGTGTCTGTGTCCCATTTAACTGGACTATGATAACCTAGCTGAATTCAACACCTGATTCTTGACACAATTAATATTCATGGAATCCTAAAATGGCTCCTTACTGTTGAAGTGACTCAGAAATACTTATGATGATCCAAATGCTGTGATGGAGAATTTGACTAAGTAAGAATTTGGGGAGCAATACAAAACTTTGCCAAGCACTCTTCCTTCATTGTAGACGCCAGCCAGATAGGATGCTCATATAGCCCCAGACGCTTTGCCTGGACAGGTACAATGCCTACTGCGTTCTAGCTTGTTACAGGTCACAAAACATGTCAATACTTCTCCTTTGATCTTCCAAAAACCTCTGTATAATAATGAGAACAAGGACTACTGTCTTTTCTTTCACTCTCAAGGTAGAAACTGAAAGCCAAGTGACCTAAAGGTAAGTAAGGTGGGACTTGGGCTTTCCAGGTGGCACTAGTGGTAAGGAACCCACCTGCCAATGCAGGAGGCATGTGGGACAAGGGTTCGATCCCTGGGTCAGGAAGATCCCCAGGAGGAGGGCATCAACCCACTCCAGTATTCTTGCCTTAACAATCGCATGGACAGAGGAGCCTTGCGAGCTACATTCTATAGTGTGGCAAAGAGTCGGACATGACTGAAGTGACTTAGCATGCATGCAAGGTGGGACTTAAACCCCAAAACTTAAAGGCCAACCTCCCACCATATCAGCGCCCATTAGCTCCATAGAAAGGCTATGACACCAGTCATTTCCACAATTATATTTGGCTTATTATTTCTACACTGATCACTTTCATTAAGTCATTCCTAGTGGTTTCATTTAACAAAGGAAAAATCCAGCACACATTTTTACTTGAACATGATGAACTCTTAACCTCTTCCAAAAAATCTCATAAACCCTACAACTTTGTCACTCAACGTATGGTGTGTAGACCAGCAGTACTGGAAGCCCCTGGGGTTCATTCAGTTCAGTTCAGTTGCTCAGTCATGTCCAACCCTTTGCAACCCCATGGACGGCAGCATGCCAGGCTTCCCTGTCCATCACAAACTCCCGGAGCTTGCTCAAACTCATGTCCATTGAGTTGGTCATACCATCCAACCATCTCATCCTCTGTCATCCCCTTCTCCTGCTACCTTCAATCTTTCC